AGTCATGATGTTTTGCAAATGGGTGATGACAGTCATGATGTTGTGCATATGGGTGATGACAAACCAACTATGAATCGTCCATGAATACCAGACGACTAACAAGGGGATGGTTATCAAAATGTGGCTACTTCCTATTGACGACGTGGAGTGTCCTTGGTACTGCAATGAGATCCACAACTTCATGGATGGATTTGGAATGGATGGATGGATTTAAATGGATGCATGAGTGGATTTGAAATGGATGGATGGATGGATGGATTTGGAATGGATGGATGGATTTAAATGTATGATGGATGGATTTGGAATGATGCATCAGTGGATTTGAAATGGATGGATTTGGAATGAATTGATGGATGGATTTGGAATGAATTGATGGATGGATTTGGAATGAATTGATGGATGGATTTGGAATGAATTGATGGATGGATTTGGAATGAATGGAAGGATGGATTTGGAATGAATGGATGGATGAATTTAAATGGATTGATTTGGAATAAATGGATGGATTTGAAATGGATGGATTTGGAATGAGTTGATGGATTTGAAATGGATAGATTTGGAATGAATTGATGGATGGATTTGAAATGGATGGATGGATGAATGGATGAATGGATTTGGAAAGCATGGATGAGTGGATTTGAAATGGATGGATTTGGAATGAATTGATGGATGAATTTGAAATGGATTGATTTGGAATGAATGGATGGATTTGCAATGGATAGATTTGGAATGAATTGATGGATGGATTTGAAATGGATGGATGAGTGGATTTGAAATGGATGGATTTGGAATGAATTGATGCATTGATTTGGAATGGTTGGATGGATGGGTTTGGAATGGATGGATGGATGGGTTTGGGATGGATGGATGGATGGGTTTGGAATGGATGGATGGATGAACGGATGGATTTGGAATGGATGGATGGATGGGTTTGGAATGGATGGATGGACACCAAGCAATCGATCACAATTTCTCATAATCGAACATAAACGATTTTGGAACGACTGTTTTAGTCTTTGAAAAACTTGACAATGGAACATATCTTAGAAGTTCACATATCTTTTTTTCGATGATTGTTCGTTGGTAATGAAGCAATCATCAATTGGGAGATTTCAACCAATTCCCAACACTGCTGATCGGGAGACTGAACAATAACCCTGGTCAGCTGGACCAGCAAATGATATTCTGGCCAGTAATAACCTCAATCCACCGTGATAATTAGGCCCCTAATTAAGTTTAAGACCTAAAGGGCCAAGTGGGGAGGTCGTATCCAATCAGTCATACGCACAGGCTCTCATGTGTTTGTGAGGATTAGGGGCGGTAGGGTAGCCTAGTGGTTAAAGCGTTGGCCTGTCACGCCAAAGACCCTGGTTCGATTCCCCACATGGGTACAATGTGTGAAGCCCATTTCTGGGGTACCCCGCCGTGATATTGCTTGAATATTGCTAAAAGCGTCGTAAAACCATACTCACTCACTCACTTGTGAGGATTAAAGATATAGGGAAAAAAAACATAAAAAGTTGAGATGAACCCTATTCGAAATGCTTCACAGTACAATACGTCACGATTTATTGTGGTGTGAAACAGTCAAACATAGGTCAATACGTCTACTCTGCATACCGATTATTTTGAATATAACTCCATTTCCGATTCAAAGTAAACTATTATGCAGTTTTTCGCTGCACTCGGCAATATTCCCGCTAGATGGCGGCGGTCTGTAAATAATCGAGTCCGGACCAGACAATCCAGGGATCAACAGCATGAACATCGATCGACTGAACTGGGACGCGATGACATGTGTCAGCTATGTCAGCAAGCCTGACCACACAATCCTGTTAGTCGCCTCTTACGACAAGCATGGGTTACTGAAGATCAATTTTAACCCAGACCTTCATGGGTTGTAGATTGTTTAAGAGTAACTACACATGTATTGACTTAAGATGGAAGAAACGTCACGTATTCGTCATTATGGCAGGTTTAATAGAGGTAGAGTATGTCACATCATGGCGCTGGATATTTGTATCAGCCAGAGATCTGACCTTATTGTGCAAATGGGTGATGACGGTCATGCTGTTATTGTGCAAATGGGTGATGATGCCCATGGCGTTATTGTGCAAATGGGTGATGACGGTCATGGCGTTATTGTGCAAATGGGTGATGACGCCCATGGCGTTATTGTGCAAATGGGTGATGACGGTCATGACCTTATTGTGCAAATGGGTGATGACGCCCATGGTGTTATTGTGCAAATGGGTGATGACGGTCATGGCATTATTGTACAAATGGGTGATGACGCCATGGTGTTATTGTGCAAATGGGTGATGACGGTCATGGTGTTATTGTGCAAATGGGTGATGACGCCCATGGTGTTATTGTGCAAATGGGTGATGACGGTCATGGTGTTATTGTGCAAATGGGGTGACAGTCATGGTGTTATGGATGCGCTATTGTGCAAATGGGTGATGACTCCCATGGCCTTATTGTGCAAATGGGTGATGACGCCCATGGTGTTATTGTGCAAATGGGTGATGACTCCCATGGCCTTATTGTGCAAACTGGGTGATGACGGTCATGGTGTTATTGTGCAAATGGATGATGACAGTCATGACCTTATTGTGCAAATGGGTGATGACGCCCATGGTGTTATTGTGCAAATGGGTGATGACGCCCATGGTGTTATTGTGCAAATGGGTGATGACGGTCATGGTGTTATTGTGCAAATAGGTGATGACGGTCATGACCTTATTGTGCAAATGGGTGATGACGGTCATGGTGTTATTGTGCAAATGGGTGATGACGCCCATGGCGTGATTGTGCAAATGGGTGATGACAGTCATGATGTTGTGCAAATGGGTGATGACAGTCATGATGTTTTGCAAATGGGTGATGACAGTCATGATGTTGTGCACATGGGTGATGACAAACCAACTATGAATCATCCATGAATACCAGACGACTAACAAGGGGATGGTTATCAAAATGTGGCTACTTCCTATTGATGATCGCGGAGTGTCCTTGGTACTGCAATGAGATCCACAACTTCATGGATGGATTTGGAATGGATGGATGGATTGGATGCATGAGTGGATTTGAAATGGATGGATGGATGGATGGATTTGGAATGGATGGATGGATTTAAATGGATGGATGGATGGATTTGGAATGATGCATCAGTGGATTTGAAATGGATGGATTTGGAATGAATTGATGGATGGATTTGAAATGGATTGATTTGGAATAGATGGATGGATTTGGAAATGGATGAATTGATGGATGGATTTGGAATGAATGGATGGATGGATTTGGAATGAATGGATGGATGAATTTAAATGGATTGATTTGGAATAAATGGATGGATTTGAAATGGATGGATTTGGAATGAATTGATGGATTTGAAATGGATAGATTTGGAATGAATTGATGGATGGATTTGAAATGGATGGATGGATGAATTTGAAATGGATTGATTTGGAAAGCAGGATGGATGGATTTGAAATGGATGGATTTGGAATGAATTGATGGATGAATTTGAAATGGATTGATTTGGAATGAATGGATGGATTTGAATGGATGGATTTGGAATGAATTGATGGATGGATTTGAAATGGATGGATGAGTGGATTTGAAATGGATGGATTTGGAATGAATTGATGCATTGATTTGGAATGGTTGGATGGATGGGTTTGGAATGGATGGATGGATGGGTTTGGGATGGATGGATGGATGGGTTTGGAATGGATGGATGGATGAACGGATGGATTTGGAATGGATGGATGGATGGGTTTGGAATGGATGGATGGATTAACGGATGGATTTGGAATGGATGGATGGATGAACGGATGGATTTGGAATGGATGGATGGATGGGTTTGGAATGGATTTGGGATTGATGGATGGATGGATGTATGGATGATACTTGTTCCTCAGGAATATGCTATCGTGGACCAACCTCAACAGGTAATCAGTGGTTGAGTGTCTGAACTGTATTAAAGTCAAACTAAATTTATTGGACAGATTTTGTAAATAACCTTCATTTTCAATAGTATCCTTGGCTATCTTACAGAATTTGCCCTTATATGATGACTCTATGTTAGATATCCACATGAGTCTTTAAAACAATTTTTGATTGCATTTGTTTTTTCTATTGCATGAAAAGTCCAAATTAAACTATTACCTGTTTTGAAGAAAACATTTTGAATACAACTTGGCCACTTATTTCTTTTTGGTTTAGCATTTACACTTTTCACAAAATACCCAAGTAGAACTTTGTACATGAGAGAAGAAAGTTTTGCTGGTTTTCCATATATAAGTGTTGCCCAAGAGGTGATCCTCCATGAGGACACATCAGTGGATTTAGGTGACTTCTTCCACTTTCACCATACAACATATACTCTTAACAAAAGTAGGGGAACTTCATTTTTAATATAAGATTGAAAAAAATTGGGAGATATATATCGGAGTCAATCAATGTTGATATGATAATAAAGAATGTTCTGAGAGTGCATCACCACTTGCACTTCCTTATGACCATAGTTGTTTGCACATTAATCCCTCTTGAAAGATGATCGGTGTACGACATTACATTTGCATGTGTACGATTTTCATTTTAAATATAAAAAACGTCGAGAAACAAACACTAACTGTGTGATGCAAGATGATTTTCAAATTAATGGTCTACAGTGATTAATCGACCTTCTTGAAAACCGTCAAAATCAGAAAATAATACCCCAAGCACGTGTATCGGGCCTCTGCGTTGTACACGCTCATCCCATGCGTTGTGTTTAGGGGTGGTGATAAAGAGAAATGGTGGTGCATTCATAACATGTCTGTCTTTGAAAAGTTTGTAAACGCTTATACTTCCTATCCAAATTGAAAGTTCAGGTTCCCCTACTTTTGTTTACGAGTATATATAGGAGTGTGTCACCTGTCCATAATACACTCATGTTGCTATAGCTTGATGAGACAGGTAAGATGGAATAAAGTACATGTATCATAACAAAGAAAAGGTATTACATATTTTTCAATTTGTATCATCTGTTTGCATTTTTCGTGTGAAGTTTATGATAGATTACTGTTCTGTGTGATATGACAGAAAGCATGATATTCTCATAGGTTCATATCATTCACATCTAACACATCACATACTATTCATTTTCGACATTTACACTATGGTTTGATTGGAAAGTTGTTGAATTGTGCCAACTCATAAGGCCTTCCTCATCAGTGAAAGTGGGTGAGTGAGTTTAGTTTTACGCCGCACTCAGCAATATTCCAGCTATATGGCGGCAGTCTGTAAATAATCGAGCCTGGACCAGACAATCCAGTGATCACCAGCATGAGCATCGATCTGCGCAATTGGGAACCGATGACTTGTGTCAACCAAGTCAGCGAGCCTGACCACCCGATCCCGTCAGTAGCCTCTTACGACAAGCATGGGTCACTGAAAATCAATATTCTAACCCGGACCTTCACGTGTCTAATCAGTGGAAGGCATGATGGGATCATCATATATTTCTGTGACAGATAAAACTGGATCCTAATCATGTATATCAGACATTCATTATCAATATTCATGCTCAATACTGAGAAGACTCTGGAAATACCTACACAATGAACAAGGATAATAACGGGTTCATTTTTAAAAAAAAAGCCACTTGCCACTTTAAGAAAGTAACGTGTCCTGACTAATTTTCCACTTGCCCTGATTTTATGACATAATTATGATGATGTAATTATGAAAGAAGAAATCAACATGGTACTTGATGTTAATGCTTACTGGACTATTTATTGAAAAGTGATAAATAGCAAAGAAAGATAACTCTACTTTATTATCATTGCGAAATTTAATAGCTACGTTTTGAGCAGATATGAAATTAAATCAAAGTTTATTTGCAGTTTGAAACCATAAGTGGAAATTATCTAGTAGCCCACGGACAAGTAAGATACCATTATTTGATTGCCCGAAATGAAAACTGACTTGTCCCGGGCGTTGGGGGATGGGATTTTTGAACCCCTGAATAACATTGGCTATTCCTGTGACATACCATATCTCTAAAGTTTTCCAAAAGGTTTGGGTTTCTTCCAGTCATAACCAGTTTCTCACAATAATCTACCCCACTGGTAGAAAATAAAGTCTTGAACAATCAAAGTAGAACTCTGAAGTTGTCAATAGTTCCAAGGTGGGACTCAACCCAATAAAAGTACGAGAATCTGTACTTTACTGGGAAAGTGTAATCCCAAACATAACGGGGTACATTTAACCACTTTCTAAATGGCATTGTGTATTCATTGTGTAAGCATGTTCAGCTTCTGCTCTGTAGGACTGTGCAATATTACCGGTAAACCGGTATATACCGGTACAGTATCTCGTGATATGATGATCGCAATATGGTTCCGATTCTGCAATATATTGGGTCATCCAGAGTTAGCCCCTTTGAATTATGTGCCCTTGACTACAACAATATGTGCTCTAAAAGAGTCAATTATACCTTTATTTCAGTTGGTTTCATGTAACATTTTACAAGTGGAAGTATCTTTATAAGTGGCTCTAAAAGAGCCAAATATTCTACCAAGTCTTGTGGGTTTGAATGGTTTCATATGCGACAGTTTGGAGGAATTAAGTGGCCTCAAATGGGCCAATGATTTATTTGGCCTTATTAGTAGAGCCTCTGGCTCAGAGGGACCATTTCACAGTTTAAAATATTTTATTATTTTTTGTTTGTTTCATAATGGGACATATGCTATCAATTTATCATAAAGGCTTAAGTCTTATAAATTTTGTAGGACTGTATAATGACATTCTAGTCAAGGATCTTAGCATTGGAGGTGACATGAGTTTTTAAGCTCATGTTTTTGTTTCATTTTGCAATAGTTCATGTTAACACATGTTTATATTGGAGTTGAATCTGAATGAATCACTGACATATGAGGGGCGATCAAAAAGTATGTAGAATCACCAAGAAAATGATACAACTGCAGTTATTTTTATGTTTTATTTTTCTACATATTTTCTGTCAAGCTCAGGCAGTTTGGTTTTGCTATGTTCCAGTCTCACGATCCCCATTTTGTTCGACCTTTTATCTTGGTACCCTAAAAAAACGCAAATCTACAATAAATGCATCAAACGGTTCAGGAAACAAAATATGCAAGAAATATTTTGTGTGTTTTGAGATTGATAGAAGTCCCCTAGAATCACACTTAGATATTAAAGTTCATAAAAAAGCAATTTGAAATTATAATCGCTTGTTAAAGTGACTCCACCCTTCATGTTGACTGAAAGAGCTTGTTTTGGAGACACTACCCATTCCCCTTCAGATGACGTAATCACAAGGGCATAGCTTATTCTAATGTGTTCACTTATGCATACATGATGCCAAGGGTTCAAACTAAATACTGAATGGTCACACAAATGTCAGCTCACAATATATTGTAAACACACAGTACCAGCTTGAATATCTGGACACAATGTTTTTGAAAGATTAAAATGGGAGTGTCCTTAAGAAATAGCCCCAAACTAAATATAAATCAGTCAATCCAAATCTTTGACTGTTGATCATGACGGGAAGTCATCCAATACTATACTGAACATATTTTATATGACATTATCTGAGGGCATACTATTATCCAAGAGGTACCAAAAGACAATTTTTTTTTCATTTTCTGCAATTTTGTGAGAAATGTGTTGTGATGACAAATATCTGGTTAACCACATTACCCACACATGTGAAATTTTGGATATGACTTTGCTAAAGATTCCTTCAAAATAAAATGGAAGCTTTTCAAACATTGGACATTGAGAATATAGTAAGGCTACGTACTTTTTGATCGACCCTTGTACTTTAAGAATAAGTACATCCTGCATTGAAGTGCACTCTGTTGAAGCAAACAACACTGACCATGACAATCATGTTATACTATTACCTTTATCATTATGTTCGCAAAACTTTGCTGCAATACTTCAATTAAATATTCCACATAAAAGCTCTGTATCATTTTATTAATCTGTAAACCATTGGCATACAGCCATACACAATGGGGACGGGGAGCCTTAAAGTATGGTGTAATGACAACTAAGAAGATGCTGTCGTACACAGAGATCTATTATAAATTTATCATGTTCGCACTTGGGCAGAAACCTTCCAGTCAATATATCACAATATATATTGCAATATATCTGAAGTTATTGCAATATATCGCAATCTTGTTGGTTTTCTTAATTATATACTGTATATATTTATATATAACCCTGTATTCTAACTAATTCATATCTGCCTGACAGCGATACAAGAATCGGTATAAAAAACGTCACATTACCTAAATAGAAAGTTGTTCATCCATAAATTTTGTTCTTATCTGACTCTCCAACTTCTAGAAATGCCACTCAAACAAGTTGTTCCTAGTTTATTTGAGTCATAAAGCTGGTTCATTTTGTGTGTCTTTCATGTTTCTACAGTAATAGTTGTTGATATTTTTTTCTTTCTACATCAAGGTAGGGCAAATAAACAAAAAGTGGAATTCTTCTCCAATATCATTTGAATTACAAAGAGAATATAATCTATTAATTTGGGGATGTTTTAATCCATCGTCCTGTTTCAACTGTAAGGTAATGTTTTGAGGTTCTGAAATTAAAGGGACAATGACAATTCCCCATGACTGGTTGATGCTTTTGTCATAATCCTAATTAATTTATCCTAAATATGTTTATGCATTTCAGAACATCATAAAAAGTACAAGATCTGTGTTTAGTGAATTTATAACATGACTGTAATGTCTAGACATTTTATACATTACCTATCATATTTCACACACACACACCCTAAGTGCGACCTAGTGTATGTTATATGTCTCATCGAACATCACATCGAAATGAAAGGATGTGGAATGATTCTGTTGGATGCTCCAACAAAGGAATAAAAATATTAAAATTAAAACCAACTAAAGTTAGAGTAATGATATCAGGCCATTAACTGTTCAAGGAATGTATCCATCAATATCCACATAAAGGAATGATATGCCATTCATCTGCAGCTGTCAAAGAAACCTGTTCCATGTGATGTGTCTTTCAATAGTCTAACATGCAAGAAAAGTATAAATCATTATAACTAGTGATGAACAGGAATGTTTTTTTTATGGACAGACAGTTTCTTTATTGCAACCGATGCGACGTTTCAGTGTAGATGCTAATTGACTGCAATAAAGGAGATATCTATCCATAAAAAATCTTTCCTATCATACCAACTTCTAAATGCCACTCAAAGAAGTAATAACTAGTGATCAACTTCCGGTTGGGCTCGCATGGCGGTCGGACGCTGAAACGAGACAGAGCTACAAAAATCCACAAAAATCAACGTAAAGAAGTGGCCAACTGAAGAAAAACTAATAAAAAACAAACAGAAGACAAACAGACACAACCAATTAACTTGATGGATGGCTTCATCAACAAATTAAAAGGACCAGAGGAGAAAGAAAGTACTGTTGAAGATAGCTCAAGCGAGACAGAAAACATGGCCATGTCGGCAAGCGGCGACCCGAACAGAGAGATGAAAGAATTTATTCTTCATGCATTACAGGAACAAACAGCGACAATAACAACAGAAATTGAAGATATTACTACGGAAATAAATGAACTAAAGGAAATAACGCATTAATTTGACACGGTAGGCGTCGAAATAAACGCTGAAGGTGTGAAAGAAAATAAAGGTGCCTACAAATTGTTGAAGGAAGAATTCAAACCTACAAAACAGAAATGCAGAGACAATTACAGATACAAGAAATGTACAACAGAAAGCAGAATCTGCTTGTCTATGGCGTTGTGTAGTGCCGACCGCGTGCAGAGAGCTGTTTGCTCATTTGGGACTTGACCGCTCAATCAGTCTCTGAGGGTACATACACTGCCCAGACATTCAACAGAAGCAAGAATGCTCCCAAACCGATTGAAATTTAAGAGAATGATGGACAGAGATGCAGTAAAGAAATGCGAGTCAAGCATGCAGAGGATTTGTGAAAAGGAAAAAGTCACTATCAGAACTGACCTCCGGTCAGCGGTGAAAAATACAGAGGCAAGTTGGCGAGTAGAGCATATACCCTGAGGAACGAGAAGAAAGTACAGACAAGGATCCGTGCCCAGACATCGTTCTGCACAGAGAAACCGCCAAACATGCCTGGAAAGATATTGGACTTGAGGGAGGAAATTTGAGGTCAATTTACTTACTAACTTACACCTCGGATTCAGGGAAGACTAGACTCTATATTGCAGTTCTACTGTGTAATCTATCTTTCGAGACGAAGTCATGTGCAATTTCAAGGATGTGTCATTTTATTTCAGTTGACTTCAAGGACATTACCGTGTGAGTCATCCTGTTTAAAATATATCGTTCTAAGTCTGAACAAAATACACATTGCTTACAGCTATTACCGGTATTTATA